CACACAAAATACTTTGCAAAAATAGAATTATTTGAAATACTCTAAAAGTGATTGAAATACTCTAAAAGTGATTGAAATACTCTAAAATATTTGTTTATTTGATTTTAAAATTCAAAACAAACGATTATAGAGAACAAATCAACCCCCATTCCATTGAAACGAATGCGGCGGAAACGAATTCTATCGGACCGTTTCTGTTATTCGTTCGTATTCGCTTTAGAAATAATTTGTAAATATGGTACACATTTGAAAATAAAACGAATGACCGCAAAAACGAATGTTTTGATGCAGCACTTTAATACCTAAGCATAAAGAACGTCCTTATTATAACAGAAAATAATGTTTTATTAGAAAATATATAAGAGAAAATATTTTTTATTTCCGATTATAAGTATTTTAAAATTCAAATGTTCCAATAAAATCAATAAAAAACAATAAAAATCCTCCTTTATGTGTATATACTTATAAACATATTTCACACATATTAGTCTTAAAGGTACAAAGGGAATAAATTTATGGACTCCAGAATACGAGATCCGTGGCGATCAATATTTGAAAATTAACTAATCGATCCAAAAAAGGTCCTCGTTTTTATGGTATATATTTATATATAGATATTATAAGTACATTTCATTCTTAAAGGTACAAAGGCACTCCAGAAAAAAAAACCGATGTAAATAGAAAAAAAAAAGGATATAGCTTAGTTTTCATTTTGGTTTTAATTATTATATAGTAGTCTATTTAAATACCGGCGATGTTTCGAAGTTTGTTTGATTTCTTCCTCAGGACGGAGTATTATTATAGGGCGAAGAGTTGTTATAATACAACTCCAGAGCGGAGAATTCTTACAGGGCGGAGGGTAATAATAATATTCGCAGGGCGGAAGAATTGTAATAATGCTCCATCATAAGGAAAAAGTCAAACAAAGTTTGAAACGTTGGCGATTTTTATATAGACATAATTATCAAAAAAAAAACTAATCTATAGCCTTTTATTTCCTGTTCACATCAGCCTTTTTTCACCAATTAAAAGTAATTAAAAAAAGTGAACTCGCAACTATTCTAAATTAAAATACTACTTTTTATACAGAGGTAAAACGAACTATTGTAATACAAGGATCGAAATAATTGAACTGATTCATAAGATTTTTTCATGAATATGGTTTTCTATGAAGTACTCAAATCTATATATATATTAGGTTTATTCTTGATCAAATAATAAAACAAATGATTTTGGCGAACTCTCTCTATCTTACTGTCTATAAAAACACAAGGTAATTTTTGTGTTCAACAGAAAAATTTACTTTTTGAGAACCCATGTAAAACGAATTGACTAAAGGATTTAATTGATGGATTATATTAGTCGCATCAACAGAAATGAATTTCCGAAAATTACCTTCAATGTGTATTAAGTTTTAGCATACAATAATAAAATAAAGTAAAAGTAAAAAATACAATAATTAAATAATTGTATGGGTATGAGGAGTATTAACGCTTTGCCAATGGTGTTATATGGTGTTCACATTATCACTCAAAATTACTTAATTATGTGTATTAAGTCTTACCACACAATAATAAAAAGTTTATTGCAAGTAAAAAATACAATAAGTAAATAATTAATTTGGGTAAGAGGAGTATTAATGCTTTGCCAATGCCATAGCTTTTATGGTGTTCACACTATCACTCGAAATTACTTAATTAATGTCATTTTAAGTAATTGCAATAGAATTTGTAAGAATACAAAATGAACGTCAATATCGATAAATGATATTGTTTGAACATTATATTTAAGTGTAAAATTAAAATCGTTCTGCCAAAATGCTGTCAAATTGAGCCCATTTCGATGTTACTGTGAATAGTTTTACAAAGCATATCTTATTTTATAGTCTGTTCACATGGGACTTGTTTGCTACGCTAAAAACCTACTTACACAGCTAATCAATATTTTATCATAATTTTGCTTAACGTATTTATTTTTGTAAAGAAAGTGCAATATTTTATTTTATTTTGTTTAAATTGTACTATTCTGAATTAGGATTTTAATTTTAAATTGATTGTACAGATTACAAATCAATCTTATTTTTGGGTCTTTGATTTTTGTACGGAAGAATATTGTAACTTTTAATTTTTTAATGAAATCAGCCAAAGGCTAGCAAAATTACTCGCCCCTTCGGCTGTGTGAATAAGCTAACACTATCACTATTTATTTTAAATATTTATGTGTATATAACTACAAATTAAACTAAAATTAATTATTTTTTAAGTGCTAAAAATATTTATGAATATACAATTTAATATATTAAGTATTGTATTAATAATTTGTAATTAAGACAACACTATTTAAATGTTTTGCTAAAAGATTCTTTAAAATTTTAATATGTATAATGACATAATAATAATGTAAACGAATTTAAGTGTAAAATGTGGATTTGTACATTTAAGTCATTTCCAATGCTAGTGCAAACATCATATAAGTTTTGTTAAAAAACTTAATATTTTGCCGTTTTGCTAGGCACGATTCGGATTTCCCATACACACTGCTATGACAATGGATTATAGTAAAGACCGCTATTTTGAAAAGCAATTTCTCTTACACTATATATCAATTTTGAATATTTATGTATATTACATATATATATCAACTTTGAATTACGAAATTGAGAAAATTACTAAATGAAACACACCAATTTCAAGTAGATTCCCTATCCGCCAATTCAATTTTACTCCTAAATAATCCTCTACCCTCTTACACAACTAATACGTATACACATCCCAACATATGTACTCGTCTTGTATTTCCTTATATATTAGCTGCTTTATAGATCCTCGTGTCCTACAATAGCAACAACAGTGAACTTCCCATCTGGCGCCTCCACTTGTTATTCATTCTTTATATTATCTAGTATAAATTAGGTATATAAATTGACGCTAATAGGCGTATGTAGTTTGTACTAGTAAAATTATTGTAAAAAGTTCACAACTTTTAATCTCGAGAAGTTACCATATAGCACACTTGAAAATGTTGCTCAATGTAGTTAAAATCGAGAATATCGGAATCGTTTCTCTTGTTTTACTTTACTTAATTATTTTTGGTTATATTACATAAAGACACATAGTTTTTATTTTTTAATATCCAAAATTTTTTAATAATTCTAAGATTTAAGGTCTTAATTCTAAGACCTTAAGTTGTTTTTAGAAAGCAATAAATTGAAAAAAAAAAATATATCACAAATTAGCCGAATTGATTTAAAAATGTTTTACATATACAATATAGAATATAAACATAGAAAATTTAAAATATCGTGTTTTAAATATAAACTTTGTTGTGGTTTTAGTGTGACGACTACATATACATATACGTAAGCCAAACAAAAAATATATGATAATAATTTAAAACATTTAAAAACACAATTGTTTTTGATGAAAAAATCTGTTAATCATCAACACGAGAAAAAATTTTATAAACATTTTGACTTAGTGTAAACACTTTTAATAAAAAAAATTAACATGTGCGTTTTTAAGAATAGAAATTTGTATTAATATTTAATATCGCAACAAAGCATAATAAATCTTAAATAATTGTACAATATATCTTTTTAAAATAATTTTTAAAGCATGATGATTATTATTCTTTTACAGTACAATATTATGATAAGCCATGGACTGCCCAGAGCTAAATAATTAATACTACATATAAAAATGATATAATGTATTGTTCATGTATTTATTCTTCAACAAAAAACATAAAAATTAAAATGATTCGAGTATTATTATTATTACTATTAACTAATTTTGTTTCTTTTAATCTAATTTTTTTTTTAAATTTATTTTAACATAATATAATCGCATTTAAATTAATATGAATTAATTTACTCTAATTTAGTTTAATTGCATTTAATTTAATGCTATTCAACTTATCTATTTAAAATTTAAAATCACCAAATTATTATAAAAATATACATTTGTTTTCCATAATATTTTGTTATATTTTAACGTATCTAAGATAAGTGTATTGCAATTTGAAATCACTTAGAAAATAGCATAACATAACTCTTAAATGTTAAGAATACTTGAATCTCACTAACATTTTTATCAATTTTATTACACTGGTTTATATATATATATATAAAGATATATAGATTGAAAATTTATTATATGCAGGATGTACTGCCAACAATTTATTTCAAGATAATTGAAATAAATGCAGTCAAAATAAATGAATAGATTTTCCTACAATGATACTAAAAAACTACAAATACCGCATAACAGCTATAATATCAATATTTGAATTTTTTTTATATATATATGTTTTTCGGAATACACTGGGCCCTAGATCATAGTTTTTAAAGTGTCTAACTTATGAAAAGTATTTTTTTTTTGCACTGTAAATTATCTACGAAGTAAACACAAATATTTATAATAAAAAAGATAAGAGTATTCATCATCACGTAAAGGATAGTTCACAAAGGCTGTATACTATCGCTGTATGTTATAAATATAAAAAGAAAGCTTCTTTAATATAATTCACAAACTTCTCCATTTTAATTTACTTCAGGAAAGATATTGCATAACATTTTATGGAACAATTAAGTTCCAAAAATAATATTTTTAATTAATTAATTAAGGTAGTGAAACCTGTCGAACATTTTCTATACCTCACTAGTTTTAAGTTCTATTATAATGTACATATATTTTAAATATATTTAATTTAATATTATATATTAACTCGTATAAAGATTTTTAATAGTTTAAATAAAAAATTGACAAAGTGTCCAACATAAGTGAAAATATATTTATATAATTGGTAACACAATTGTTAACTAAATAATTAAATTAGTTTCTTTTTGGCTGGCACAACCCACATATAATAAATTGCACTTGTTCTTATAAAATTATGATGTACTAATTTTGATTTGAAATTTTGCTTAAATTATAAATGTTTAGCTATAAAATTTATTAAAACAATTTTAATATGTTCATTAAATACCTCTACAATAACAGTTCAATAAGAATTAGTACCGAATATCGTTAACCCGATAGCTGTTTTCATTATTTTTAAATTAATTAAATTACGTATTACACTTCTACTTGCATTTATAATTCGTTAATATATATATTATTTATATATATATTATATATATATATATTTATATATGTAAGTAACTATACGACTGCTGGATAAAGCGAAGTTCCGATTAAATTTATCAACGTGGTTATATTTATACTTTTTCGATCTATTTTTTTTTTATATTCGATATCACAACAAAATAAATTAGAAAATCTTTTACGCTAATGGTGGGGGTAGAATAATCGGATCGAAAACTCGATGATAATCCGTAAAGTTTTCTATTTTGCGATAACCCCATAAAGCCATTGCTTCTGTGCAGTATTGTTGTATATGCTTTATCTGAAAATGCAAAATTAGTTAATTTTTACTTAATTTAAAATGATTAATATTGTTATCCTGTTCATTAATTAAATTATTAATTAATAAATTAATTAAAAAATTTTTTTTTTTTTGGTTTTTAATTAACGATATGTTTTATTTGTTTCTGTATTTTTTAGTACTTTTTTGGATAAGAATGTCTCATTATTATCCAACAGACATTTTCAAAACAAAAAAATCTTGAACGTATTTCCTTAAATCAATTAATTTGCATGTCAATATGTTTATTAAAAAAAACTAATATCAGCATTACATAAATATCAAATTCAATGCCATTTCACTTCACTTTAACCACTTCGATTAACTAACTAAAGATTAGCAAAAATTATAGCAATGAAAAACTCTTAAAATATAACAACTTAGTTAAGTCAACATTATTTCTTCATTACCTCTTCAATTTTTAAGTCTTGTTTCCAATGAAAAGGCGCTGATTTTGAATCACGATATGTTGAGCTCACACCACCAATATTAACTTTTGTATGCGTATCAAGAAATTCTTCTACCATTGGATCGAATGGTAAACCATAAAACTGCAAAACTTCTTGAGTCATTTCATAAGGATTTATAGATAGATCCTCATAGCGCAGAGTTCTAAATATAGAAATTTGTATATAAACCTTTAAATTTTACTATAGATAAAAGTTTTTACCTGAATCTTGACGGATATTTATCTAGCAATATTTCAGCACTTTTGTAGTCTGAAACCAAATCTTCACACACAAAACTAGGATCATCACAATCAGGATTACCGGCACACCAAACACGATGTTTGCGAGATTGCATAGTTCCACGAGGATCGCGTACCAGTAAGATTATACGCACATTCAGGCTTAAAAAGAAAATATAACAAATATTAAATATTATTAAAAAGAAAAATAAATATGTTCATACATTATAATGTTTAAATCAGAAATGTAAAAAGTAATGTGTTAATATGTTCTGATAAATAAAATTTTCAATACTTATTCAATAGACTCACAAATAAATATATAACAATTGTTTAAGAAATGATTTACTATTAAAATTATTTATTAAAAGTTTTTATCACAACAAAACTCGCTGCTTAAACTGGATTTGTTCCCATACACGCACTACGTTGTTCTGGTGTTTCATTTGTTCTGTTTGTTGTTAGCCAAATTCGTTGTTAATTCATTACTTTGTTCATTAATGGGATTTTTTCTTATATTTCTTGTCGTTGCACTTTTTAGTAGATATATTTTCATCTTTTTAAACAATAGTAAACTATCAAAGTTCATTTTCATAATAAAATTATTTTTTTTAAATAAAGTATTCGTGTTGCTGTAAAGCTAGACTTTCTTTGTATGGTGACAAAAAAGATTTATTACAATTTAGAGGGGTTTTAAATAACAAAGAAAGAAATAAAGAACAAACACAAAAATTTATTTTAATTTTATTGAAGTTTGGCTGACCATACAACGCTGTTTCGAGTATTGCCAAGTACTCTTCATCAGTGGTCTTTGGAAATAATCGAATTTTATTTAATTAGTCTATAGTCGGACTATAAACTTTTTTAGAATAAAAAACATTGTCAGACTTTTGTATAGAAACGAATTGTAATTTTGGCTTGATTATCTAATGAAAGCGAGTTAAGCAAAATTACATTTACTTGGGCTGTGTGAATAGGCTATAATATTTAACTTGATTTTACAGCTGTAAAAGCAGAATGGTTTTGAAATGAAATGTTTTTTCATCTAGTACTTTCATCTAGAATAAAGCTAATTAGCGTGGATAGGTAAAAATAAAAGTTAGGTTTCAGTTTTCAAGTGTAATATCTTTATATTAACTAATATGTTTAAAATATTATTAAAACTATTATAAACAATATTGATAAAATTATAATATGAATTCATTAGTAAAAATGTTATATGAAGTCCTAAGTATTGACAATGAATAAATTTATTTAAGTGTGTTAATATAAGTGTATAATAGTATATTATTAATGTTGTCAAGTAATGAGAAATCAATATATACGTATACTGAGAAAAAAAACATTAAATAAATTGAATTGTATAATACGCATAATCGTTTAGGGTAAATAGTAAAGAAATTATAATAAAGTACTTCGAAATTGTTTTGGGCTTCATGTAATCATTGCTTTATTATAATTAATGGAAATATTGGAATTTTCAAAAAAGTTCATTTTCATTAATTGCGATAAATGAAACTTATATTTTTATTTCATGTAGTATTTTTTCATGTAATATTTTTTAATTGAATTTATGCCAAGTTCAAGAACAAAATAAACCTTTTCGAATTAATTATTTCATAGCACTCTTACTTGAAAAAAAAAACATCCTTACATATTAACCCTTGTCGGACTGGAAAACTTTACAACGTCAAGAAGTGACAGAGGTACAATTGTGCTTTCATATATATGAAGTATGAAAAATCTTCCCCTATCTAACTTTTTTTGATAATTAAATAAGGTGCGCTGATTCTGAGCTTTACATTTGGCAGGACCCGAGTTCGAATTCTGGTACTTGCAGTCTCAAAAAAAAATTATTTACGAATAATTAAATACAAAAATTATTTCCAAGACCCCTGATGATGGGTATTTGGCAATACTCGAAACAGCATACAGCTGTCAGCCAAAAATTCAATTAATTAAAATAATATAAAAAATAAATTTTTGTTGTTGTAATTCATTACTGTTCGAAAAAACCTCTTTATAAATAAATAATGTAATGTAATGTAAATAACTAATGTAGAAGATATGTGAAAAGCTAATACGCTGCCTCTCATACAAGCAGCAATGTCTCAAGACCGCTTCAAGATGATGCTAAAATTTATTGGATTTGATAATGAAAATACACGTGCAGATCATACGAAAACAGATAAAGCTGCACCGACTCGAAACATCTGGACAATATTGAACAGAAAAATTTGGAAAAAGAACAATTAACGTCAACGAACAACAATATGTAACATCCAAGCCGGCTAAATGTGGCATTTAAATTTTTTGGGCTTGTGTCACATTTATACTGGAAAATTAATAGATGGTAAAATTTCCATTACTTATATCAAACTTTTAATTTTTCTAATAACTTATCTTTTAAAAAATGTTTTTTCGTTAATTAGTTTGTACAAAACACATGAAGGTACAATTGTACCTAAGATTTCATTACCGACAGTGAAATCTATTCAACGTCATATTTTAGAACGCTGTCCAGATGCTTTTCTAAAATTTTAAAAATATCATCTAAAGGGAAAGTGTAGAGAACTTTTAAAATTTCCGGTCGTTGTACCTATTCCGTCCGACTAGGGTTAATGCCAATAAATCTAGTATTAAAATAAATTTGCAACAATGTTTGCATTGCATTTATTGCAAGTCGTATTTCATTAAATGTCATTTATTGAAATAAATGACAATTATTGCAATTAATAGTCTAGCGTAGTCAACGGACTACAAGTTGGTTAAGTAAACTACTGTCATATTTGATAAAATTGTAATAATTATTTCATTTAAAATTATTCAATAATATTTTCTTTAAAGCAATTTCACTATAACAAAAACCAAAGAAAGATCAATTAAGTAAATTAAGTCAAACAACATTTTTTCAATACTCATTATATTGCACTTCTACTAACGCTAATTTACATATCTTTAGCTGCTCTGATATATAGTACACTGAACTTAGAATCTCTTACTATGTGTATAAGAGTTAACTTATGTTAACTAACGATATATCTATGTTTTCAACGTTTTTACCTCTCACTTGGATCGTTTGATTTCAGTCTGTCATATTGAACAATAACTGAATATCCGCCTTTGCTTAGTTCCATTCAAACTTATATCTACAAGAGCTTCTGTTTACTTTCTAAAATATTTGCCACTAAAAATACTTTCACCAATAGATATTTTTATTAACCTTTATTTTTTCAGCCACTAATTTATATCTAATTTTTTCAAATAATATGGACATCAGTATTTGAACTAAATTTAATATTGTATTAATAACTTGAAGAAGGGTAAAAAAAAGCACTAACCTAATATATAATTGTAGTAAGACCATCTATTTGCAATTGCATGGAACGGAAATATAGATTTGTCACTGAAAAGAAGCACAGATATTGCTTCTAATGTCATACTCCTTTAGGATATCGATCTGTGTCTTAAAGGCCTGAATATTTTGGCTAAGTATAGGAAAATCAGTCTAACAAAATTAAATTAGATCTATACAATAGTAGTATCGACGTATCTAATATTTTATGGTTACATTCTCGTTGAATTTCTAAAGCACTTTATATATTCCATTCGTTTAAACCCAAATAATCGGTTAAAATTCATTAAATAGTTATTTTTGAGATGCTTGATTCTAACTCTATTAAGTGCAATAAAAATTTTTGCTGAAGTTTAAATTATTTATGGACAATTTTGATGAAAGCTGCTGTGACAACATCTTGATTCTCATACAAATATATTTTCATGTATTTATACTCAAACTTATTTATGAAAAGAATGCTGCAGCTAGAAAAAGAAACCATTAAACACTGAAACCATTTTCTGTGAATGCCCGGCTTTGGCATCTAGAAGAAATACGTTTTTAGGAAGGCATTTCTTTAACAGCTTAATGGACTGTTCATCGGACGAAAGACCTATTAAATTATTTAAATTCGACGGGTTGGATTTTGTTAATATTCTTCTATCATAAAAATTGTTGTCAGGCATGTGGTAGCAAAACGGCGAAAAATTTCTAATTAAGGTACATATAAAGTTATCTGATGGCCTGTCACTGCAACCAACCAAAGCTGCAGCTATAATCTTTTTTCTCTCTCTCTCTCGGATTATTATTTTTTACTTTTATAATAAGTTGCACTATAGCAACACTTTGAGAATATATGTTCTTTAATAAGAACTTTTATGTTCATTATCTCAAACTGATGAGTGCACACTTTTCAACAAAAATGCGATGTGAACGGCAACTTAAAGCAGCTCTGGGTATCCATCTTAAGAATTGCCGTGTATAGAGTATATTAGCTATTCATTCCAACATACTTATAAAAATATACTCCTATTCAGACACAATATTTTCATTCTAAAATATCAGTGAAAAATTCATAGAGAATTTTAATGCATATAGCACATATTAAACAATAGTTGTTAATTGTTGAGACATAATATCATCACATATTGAAAAAAGTTGATCATTAAATCGTTCGATATATAAGTAGATTAATAGAAAAAAACTTTATATTTAAACCAAAAGGCAAAGATCTTAATCCCAAATTAATAAAAAGCTTCGTAAAGCCAAAAACTTTTGCTAATTTATAGGATTAATGGCACTTTGAAAGCAAAAGATTAATAAACACTTTTTCCTGACGTTATGTTGCAATATGTGTCACGGGAAACGCCCACACCGGATGTTTTAACATGATACTGACTCCCAGTAAGACATCCAAGGTATTCAAAAAATATTGGATAAAAAACAATTTATTAGAGTAATGAATATGTTTATTTGTAAATTTCAGTTTTAAAACGAATTTTCTGTCTTATCGGAGTAGATATATATAAAGTATACTTTCCGCCTCCGCCTCGCAAAAAGCAATCGTAGAATTCGACAACACAAAACTCATTAAACATGTTTGCAAAATACAAGCCATCTAGAGTTGGTATACAGAAATACTTTCTAGTGTTAAAATTCCTAAAACTAACCATTTACAATGATTAATTTAATTTATATAGCTGTAGTTTATGCGTTAATTTTAATTAATAATAGCAAGCGCAGTAGTTGTTTGTGAATAAACAATATAAATTCAGACAACTCTTTATATGAAGAACACAAATAATGTAATATATACTTAGACTTT